TGTGTGTGTGTGTGTGTGTGTGTGTGTGTGTGTGTGTGTGTGTGTGTGTGTGTGTGTGTGTGTGTGTCTGGTTAGGAGGGGGGTATTTCCCTAAACCCAAGCATCAGGCCTCCTTTTGTCCTCTTGCCTGTCACCGATGGCTTCACAGTGGGGTGACAGACACACTCCAAATCTCATTAAAAAGTGAGAGATGGGGGGAGGGCTTTCATGTCTAATGGAACTGGAGGAAACATCCAACTTGGTGCTGGCAATGTTGTGTTTTATGAGCATCTAAAATACCACAGTCATCATTACATCAACCTTTTGTTATTGCTTTTGTGTGGCTTTTTGACGACATTGTTGCAGCATTTCTAATCCTTTGACGCTTTATTGATTTGATGGACAATAGGTGTCCATCTGATTTCATTAGGTACAGTGATGTGACACATCTGATAGGGGTCTCAAAGCGGAGGGATAACACGAGGACGATGCTATCACTGTCTGCCCCTTTGTTCTGCGTTTAGAGAGACGACTCAGCACACACTCCTCCCTGCCAGAGCTGAACAAGATGAATCAATCTTCGAAAACTTGGACTCACTTGTGTTAGATAAAAGCAACCCTGACAAAAAAAACACATGTTAAACAATCTTAAAAACAGTCCTTTTATCATCTCATGTTAAACCATTTGTCGTAATTGCCAGTGTGAATGGCACAATAACAAGCCCCTTTTTACACCTTGCAATTTACCCATTAGGGTTGGAAATTGCTTTGCAATTGCAAGCAATTACTCCCCATCCACTGCAGCAAACACACACGAAAGCACCTCAATTGAAAATAAAAGAAGCTGAATCCAAGCAGTCGCTCATTTAACCTTTGTTGGTGACTTCCTGCAGCCATTTTAAATGAGAACTTAATGTTTGCATTGAGCAAATGGATTTTGTTTGGTGTCATTGCGGTGATAAAATATTGATGTGCGGTGCCTTTAAGAGCCGAGCCTGAGAGAGGAGACACCTTGGAATGA